CCATAAACCATTGCAAGCGGTGTCAACCTCGGTGATAGCACCGACACAACCGGTCTCAATTCCTCTGGATCCTTATGAGCCAAATTTTGACGAACCAGAAGGTTCGGAATTGGTACAGCCACCCAATAAAGATACTGTTGCTGAAGTAATAAATTCAGTGGTTCATGGAGAGTTCGAGCAAAAGGATTATGTGCAGCGCCTGGTGAACGGGACGCGAGTATCTCCCTCGGGACACAATTCTATGATTACCACATCGAGTGAGATTGCGGCCTCTTCCAGACCGGCACTTAATTCTACAACACAAATAGATCCATTGCCACCCGAGGACTTGTTGACGGCTTCGAAGCAGTCCGCTGGTGTAGCTTCAGGTTCACTGCTACCATCAAATTCATCGCCATCTGAAGTACCAAATACTGCGGATGCTGCACCAGTAACCAGTTTCGCTGAAAACTCTAGGTTCCTTTCAAAAACCATTCAACCGCCGTCTTCTGTTGTTGTAGTAGGTCCATTCGTATTGTTATTAGGCTACCTCTTATTGCTAACAGCTGGGTAGACCCTGTGATATTCGAGCCTGTTTGATGTTACTGACGTACCGTTCTTACATCAGTTGTGCGTGCTTTTCACAGCTCTATTTAGATCTTTCTAAGCGACACTTGCAACACTTGTGAGTAGTATTTGGAATTGGTTTAATTTATTAGCTAGATCAAGACAGAACAATCTTTTACCTTTGCACTATCATCACGTCACGTGCTAAGTATTTTTACACGACATTCCATATGACGCTGAAGAGCTGTCGTCACCTCAAGTTTAGTATAGTTGGATAAAATCGTATATCTGGCAAACTGTTTTAGACATCTCCTGAGTCATCTTTGTTGCAACGCCAACAGCAGCCGTCCCAAAAATTAGTTGAGCCTTCTCCGATTGCTGAGCGGCCGTCCATCCCCACTAACATCCTCAGTCCACTGCAAGTCTTTACTCTAATGGCCCCAGCGAGTGCCAAGTCTTCTGATGCGGTGCCTCAGCAGATCTCACCACAGACGCAACCTCAGTTACAAGAAATTGCTGCCTGTCTGGCTACGAATTACTTTACTCTCTTTAGTCAGGCACCACCGCCACAGGCCTTTGTGGATGCTGTCGACTCAGCGAACAGAAACTCACCAACCTCGATCCATCCATCTGCTCCACCAACGTCAACTACACCACATAAAACTGCAGAGTATTATGCCGCCGCGACTATGGCTGCAATGGCTGCTATGTCGCCCTCGCCCTCCGAGGCAGCTGCGGCAGCAGCAGCAGCAGCAGTGGCGGTTGTTGCTTCTTCTCCCAAGCAGCATACAGCTCATTTCCCATCACAGCCGCAGCCTCTGCCTGCCAATTTTTGGTGGCTGGATCCTCAGTTCCTTGAGGATGTGAGCCTCCATTTCAAACTCTTCTTTAACCAGAATTCATTCTATGTTATCCTCTTCTCTATATCTTGCATCCTTTATGGTGGTAGTTGGTACTACTCCTTGAAGACGCTAATGTAAGCTGTAGATCGTGCTAACCGTGGTAGCTTCCTGTAGTTTCAGCGAGCCCTCTGTTTTTTTGGGTGATGGTGTTCCTAGCATAATTAAGTTTTTAGTCAGCCACGGAGTAGCATGTGACTTGGTTCTGGACTGGACTCTGCAGCTGGTGTTCGCTTGCGCTGTTACTCTCGCGCCTTGAATGTACCACTACTTATCACGAAATTTAAAACAACTCGTTCCCATTATCGTTTTATCAATTGTGGTGCGATTCTGCATAAGGCCGTCTCATGTTTAGAATATTGCAACAGTGTTCAATGTTTTCGATGACTTTATGTTCGGTTTGTTATCTTTTTTAATATGGACAATCTTCAGTAAAACGAACATAGTGTGATGAGAATGGCGGCTGTTAAACATTTAAAGAGAGAAGAGGGCTTTACTCGATATTTTTGATTGACAGTTTTGTAATGTGCATTTAGAATAGCTGTTTCCACGACGTGAGAATTTCTTACCAGTCGTGGTTTCTACTTTGGTTATGTCAACAATGAGCAAATGTTTTAGTCATTTTTTTAAAAGTTGTTCCACTGGTTTCCGTAAAACTCATTTTGTCTCAAGCGAGTCTTGTTTGCATCCGGCATCTCGGCTTTTTGTGGTGACATTGTTTTTTTTTTTTTT